TTAATACATGTTACAAATCAGCACTTTTTGTCTACATTTTGGCCACAGTCAAGAAACAGGCTGAAGTCTATTACTTACACTGAGACTCATACAGATCTAACCCGGTATTATCTATGCATTTAAGTACACAATGGGGAAGCCACTTGTAATTTGACTCTTCTGCACTGCACAGCTCTTTGTACATAGGCCTGATGTATTTACTAAAGTGTGAATGACTGGGAATTCAAAGTGACATTAATATTTTGTATAACCAAATTGGAAAATCTCTCCAAAAAAAGCCAAACGTTTAGTTCTACGTTTCAAATTCACTTTAGATTTGTCACAATTCACATTTTAGAGAATAACTGTGTGTGACAATGATTATATAGCAACAGAATATTGTGTATTCTGTGCATACAGCACACTGTTTTGATTACATATTGATGCATAACGTTGAATAATGTGTAATATTAAATAGGGGTTCTTTCTCACACTGTACTGAAGTTTTCAGCAGACATGTGCATTAGTTTTCAGACGAATGGCAACATTTGGTTTTCATTAAATTTATCCGACCACTAATAAAGAATGCCTTATATACTATACACCGAACTAACAAATTGGTCACTGAACAGATTTAATTTATCACCAATTTTTCACAGCACGCGGGCGCTGCAGCCAATGAGAGTGCAGCAACTTTTTCTTGTGATCATTTTCTTATCAATCCTGTGACTACAATCATCAATGCAAATGTTATCTGATGTTAATTGTTTTATCAGCCAATCGTGTCAAGCTCCTACAAAATTACACTTCCAATGTTGGAGCACACATGGCGGCAACATCCTCTGTCCGCTCATGGAATCGTTCCCAATGCTTGCGAGTCTCTGCAAAGGTACGGAGCATCTGCTTTAACGTGCCATTGAAGCGCTCGCACAGGCCATTGATCTGTATTGGGAGCTCAGGATGGGTTTAATGCCGCACAACTTCCACAGTTGGTGAGTCATTTCGGCAGTAAACCAGGTGCCCTGGTCCGAGACGATCTCCCGGGGAAAACCTATCCGCTAGAACACTCGCATCAGGGCTTTGGCTACAGTCTCTGCCTGAATATTATTCAGGGCGACTTCCTCAGGGTACCGAGTAGCGTAGTCCACAATGGTCAGGATGTATTTCTTCCCAGAGGGACTAGCTTTAGCCAGGGGACCTATGATGTTGACAACTACCCTGCCGATGGAGTCCTCAATAATGGAGAGTGGCTGGAGCTTGGCCTTATGCCTGTCGCCCCGCTTACCCACTCTCTGGCAGACATCGCAAGACTGGCAGTACTGCTGCAAGTCATTTAAGATGCCTGGCCAGAAGCAGCTTTGGGTCAGTCGATGCTTAGTACGACTCACTCCCAAATGCCCTGCCAGGGGAATGTCATAAGCTATCTTGAATAGCTCCTTGCGGTATTTCTTGGGCACTACCAGCTGCTTGGTGGTAGTAGGGGCAGTTCCTTTGCCTACTTTTATTGCTAAGGAATATTATAACCCCCGCTTCCAAATAAACCAATTCTCCCCTCTCCCCCTCTGGACTAGTGGCCACCCGACTCCTATAGGTTTTGAGGGAAGAATTGGAGACCAATTCCCTCCTGAATTCAGCAGGGGTATCCCAGGGCAAGGGGACCGGGGGCAGGGAGGTTCATGGGAGGCTGGGGCAATGGGACGAGCATGGAGGGCCTGGGACAGGGGACGACTATGGGCAGCTGGGGCATGGGGACGGGTACGTGTGCCTACTTGAACCGCAGAGTGTGAGGTAGATCTCATCACTGGGTAGATCTCATCCAGGGTGCACATACAAGGAGGTGAGGTGGCCCAGGTCATTGCCAAGGAGCAACTCTGCTGGTAACTCTGTCATGAGCCCGACTTCTAATCTCTTGTCTCCTGTGCCGCATTCGAGGTGAACGTGGGCAGTGGGTAGATGCAGGGCCTCCATCAGAAATTGTGGGGCCCCTAACACAGCTCAAGGTCTGGGCCCCCGGGTGCCTGCCTCCAAGCCCCGTCTCCAAATCCCGCCCACAGGAATACACAGACACACACACAGAAAGATACACACATACTAACAGACACAAATACTGAAACAGACACACACACACACACACATACATACAGACAAACAGACATACATACAAACTGACATACATACACATAAATACATACACATACATACTGATATACATACATACACACACAGATAGATATATACATACACAGATACAGACAGACATACTGACATACACACAGACAGACATACATGCATACTGACATACATACCGATAGATATATACATACACACATACAGACATACACACACAGACATACATGCATACTGACATACATACATACTGACACACACACAGACATATATACATACTGACATACACACACACACACACACACACAGACATACATACTTGCAGACACATACATAGACATGCACACACACACAGACATATATACATACTGACACACACACAGACATACATACACACACTGACATACACACACAGACAGACATATTTACATACTGACATACATACTGACATACACACACAGATATATATACTGACATACATACATATACACACTTCATTTATCAGCCACCCTCCTCTTACCTTTAAGTTGCAGGAGGGTGGCTGGGGATGATGGGAGTGGATGCCTCTGGTGTCCTCTCCTGGCCTCTGCTCTCCTGGCCTCCGCTATCCCTCTCCTCCGCTGCTCTCCCCCAGCGCGGACTAAGCTGGGAGGAAGTGACCGGCCGTCACTTCCTCACAGCAGCATTTGCGGTGCAGCCGCAATTTTTTTTTAAAAAGGGGCCTGGTCGCGCAAATTACCTGGCCGCAGCGCTGACCGGGCCCCTGAAGATTATAGGGCCCATCGGGTGGGCTGCCGGTCTCTTACCCACTCTTGTACCTTGGGAGAGAGACTGTTATAGAAGTGTTCCAACAGGAACAACTGGACAATGGCTTCGGGGGATTTGGCGTCTTGGGTGTTCAACCAGTTTTGGGCGGCCCGGGTCAGGTGGAAAGGCCACTCAGCATGGGAATCTTGGTTCCCCCTTTTGGATTCCTGGAACTTCCTGCGGTATGCCTCGGGAGTTACCACATACCTGGCCGGAAGGACCTTCTTTACCAGGTAGTAGTCTCTCAGCCCCTCTTTGGGCACCGCTTGATAGACATCGGCAGGCTTGCTGGTTTGCTTCCCAGCAAGTAGGGGGACCTTGTCCAAGGGTGCAATCTCGTACAGGCTGCAGAGCCTCTGGAAGTCTTGGAGGAACTCATCGATATCTTCTCCGGCTTCATTGAATGTCTTGAATGCAGTGTGGGGCACCTTGGGCTTTGGGTCGGCGGGTGCCGTACTTGCTGGGGCCACCTCCATGGCCCGCCCTGCCTGTGCCAGGATGTAGGTTTGGACCTCCGAGATGGTCCTGGCCAGGATCTCCACGGGTGGGCTTTCTGGGTAAAAGGCCAGGAGATGGGCCAGTTCCTTGCTGAAGGCATCCTTCTCGCCCTCCTGGGTTGGTGCAATGCCCCCTCCGCCTCGCAGAATTTCTTCCATGAGGGCGGCAATCAGGTCAGCCTTGAGTTGGTGGCTGGCTGATTGCCCTCTCGCCTCTAGCAGGTCTTGTAGTGTGTGTCTCGTTAGTTTTGTGTATTCCATGGACAGCCGGACTACCAAACGCAGGTTCCTTGTTGCTGGGAAGTACTCATCCCACCGCTTGTCACCAGTTGTAGCGGACCACGGGTAACCTGACTAGTTACCTCCGCTAATTCCTTGCCTTCAGCCACTCAGGAACCACTCAGAGTGTAAAGGTACCTATTTCCCCCCAGTATCCGTACGACACACAGTCCTGGAGGTACAACACAATTTTATTGGCCACACACGGCTTTTATGCATACCCTGTGCAAGGGGTGGAGCACACACACTTATGAAGACACATCCCACAATGTCCCCAAAGCCCACCACAATGTCCCCAAAGCCCACTGCCAACCGCCAGGGGTCTTCTTCCCAATAGCCTCTGTGCCTGAGTGTCTAAGCGTGGGAAAAAGGGACCGTCCCTTTGTTACCCAGGCACAAAAAAGCCTGCCTGCGGAAAAAGAGCTGGTCTCTTTGTCCCTTGGGCTCATGAGAGTCTACCAAAACTTGCCAATGCCCCAGAAGTGCCCACGTCAAACTCAGGGATCCTCGCCTCAGTCCCTCAATCGACTAGTCTCCGTTTGCGAGGTCCTGGTGTGAAACCTAGACAAGGGAAGCGTCTCCTTTCGGGGTACAAATGCTCCCCCTGGATGGCGTTCGTCTGTACGAATGGTGGCCCCCAGGAGAGCACTCATTAATGACTATGTTGCGGGTGCGAGCATTCTGATTAATTGGTGTGAACGTTCTAATGGGGCACTGGGGAGGCCCTCGTTCAGGAAACAAACAAGTCGGGAAACAATTAACGAATCCTCCCCCTAGTAGCGTTCGACTGTACAAATGGCTGACACCCAGGGAAGTACTTGTCGTTTCCCTTGTGGTTTTGACAATTATGTTACAAGGTGTTTGGGAGGTGTGAACATTCTATACTAACATTCTAATTGAGGTAACAGCGCTCCCAAACAGGGATCGGGCCTAAGAAACGAAAGTGCAAGGAAATTACATGTGAAAGAGAGGGGAAATTCAGCCACATATACCATTAGTGATACTAGTGTACAGCAGCAATACTAGTGTACCAGTAGTGATTCTAGTGTACCAAAACAATACTAGTGACACTAGTGTGCCAGTAACAATAGTAGTGTACCGGTGGCGATGCTACCTAAGTGCATGATACAATTTTAGGGTGTACTAGCCATAATGGTGTACATTTTTGTTGTGTACCCAGCTTTGTGTACTATCCACAGTGGAGAAGGATAACCTACATCCCAAGTAAAATCACACAGCTATGCTGCTGGTGTCCCGCCCTGGTTGGTGTTGTGTGTCCCTCACAGCACTGTGCTCAGTGTAATGTACTAGCATTGCACACTGTGTTGTGTACTGCTCTCATTGTGAATCACTGTGGGTGGGAGCCTCTCTCAATCTCCACGGCCGGTTCTACATCGCGGATCCATCCGCGCTCTCCGCCTCAGACACGGCAAATCAGCCGCACTCCCGGGCCAGGCGGAAGCGGCCAGCGCCCGGCATACAGCAACGGCTCCCTCGGACTATACCCACACCAAAACCACGGTAACAACCAAGCACCCTGACATAGCCGCCGGCTCGCCGCCGCCTTAATTACCGCCGCCCTTAGATGCCGCGATCGGGCGGCCATGGCGGAAGGACACATCGTTAACGGGACTATTTGCCATGATAGCGGTGCTTCGGCCTCGGCCCCGCCGCCATCTTGAATGTTAATGTTTCCCCACCAATATATATATATATTTATATAAATAATATCCTTTAAAAAGCTCGATTCATCACTTGAGGTATTAACCCTTTCCGCCGTATCCTCGTGTTTACCCCCTGTACTGCCATTAAAGCCCACTCGCGTGCTCGCCATGTGAATGTCGAAAGTAAAATATGTAATTATTATTTTTTAATTAAAAACTCGTCTTTTTTTTTTTAATAATTGTAGGCAGTTCTACGGCTTCCTGGACCTGTCTGAAGGGAGAGGTGGCCCAACAAACAGCCTTCAACACAAGGTACTATTATTATTATTATTATTATTATTATTATTATTATTATTTAATGTGTGTATTTTCCTCTGTTTTGTTGTGTGCTCAGTGTTCTTGTATTTTTATTCTTCCAATTATGATTTGTTTAAAAAACCATATGTAACCCCCTTCTCACACAAAACTAGAGTATTGTGCAATGTGATTGTCCCCTTATGGTGATAACATTGTGTGTGTGTTTGTTTGTTTTTTAAACAGATCATATTGATTTATTGTATATTTTTCATGTGGCCCCTGGATCAGGCCTTGTCCCCCCCCCCCCTGTATACTGCTCTGTGATGGGATCCAGGCCTCACCCTACATCCAAGGGGTGATTGCTGTCTTGATATCTGATCTGTTTGTAAACAGTCCAGATGCTGCCTGTCCAGGTTTAAATGTCCCCACCATGAATGCAAGTCCTCTGCTTCACAAATGCATCATTGCATTATTATTAAAGCTCAGACTTCTTTATCTATTTTGTGGTTATTTAAATGTCCTAAGTACCCTCTTTACAAGGAAGTTTGATCCCTATTACCATGCCATTTAAATGTCCCATACTTGCAAACTCTTTTGTACCGGTTCTCTTAAACTTTACATAAATTAAAGACTATATATATATATTGTATATGACTTAAATCAACAGATTACATCAGATATACGTAAGCTTTCTTTACTTACTAACCTTAGATCCAAACTTATAATAATTATGCAAAAAAAATGCTCATGTGAACCTAATCAAACCTACTGTATTTGATGTAACCCCCCCCCCTCCTTTTTTTAAGGTTCATGCGATAAAAGTACATTATACTTGGTACACATTGTTAATTTTCCCATTATTCACTATTCAATAAACCAGAGAATAATACATAAAATGAGATCTTACACTTGTTTCTGTTTTCAATAAGCATTTAAAACAAGGCCACTAATAACTTATTTTATGTTTTTAATACCACACATATGTCAATGCCAAAGTGATATCAAATTACAGATTTGGCATTCCAAGGGTTAACACTACACATCCCATGTAAAGAGTTGCCATTTTAGATTTCTACAATCCACTTAATCTTGACAAATGTCTTCTAGTTAATCGTTTTACATTGAATCTGTGCTAAGGCAAAAATATTATTTCCACTGCATTCAATATTTCAACTAAATGATTCCTGCTTGTGTATTAGTAAATCTGTTGAATGGAGACCATCTGAAGTCATTTTACAAGTTGAGCATAGTTAGGGTACTGAAGTAATCATTTACAGTCCCTTAGATTACAGCAATTTGTTATAATCACTGTACATTTATAAGACATTGTTAAATAATGTATGTAAAGTTCCTTTGAATACTCATAGCAATATATGTGCAGTAAATGTGAGAAGCCGGCATTTGCAACCGTGCACATCTGGGTGTAGTTTAAGGACATTTAAATCCTCTTTGTAATGGTCTGTCTGATTGGCTGACGCACACGGAGGTGGAACCTTCTCTGTCTCTCTCTCTTTTCCCCCCCCCTCTTGTCTACAACACAGACAAGGAGGTTGTGCATGTCCAGCTTCCTAGTGGTGAGGGCTGGAATGGCTTTAAAGATGCTGTTTGTATATATTTTATGAAAGCAAACTGCTATAATATACTATTACTCTTGAATGTGACTAGAACAATAAATTAACATACATTTGAAACATGATTCTTATGTCAAAACCTTGTCTTCAACAGACAAATTATATCCTCAGTTTGAGTTTTTACTTGACCTAGAAAATGTATACCAAACTAACAGTGGTTTGAAAAAAAAACTGTGTGTGTGTGTGTTTTTTTCTTTTCTTTATATATAAAATACTTTTTTTTATTTCCCCCACCCCGTCTAAATTGTCTCTTTTGACCTAAAGTTTGTTTGCCGGTTGCCATTAGATTGCCATTTGTGCAATATTTAAAAAAAAGATACATGATTTACATTGCAATTACGAAGAGGCCACTAGGTGGCAGAGAACATATATGGTTTTTGAGACTTGAAGTGTTTTGTGGCACAAACTCAATCAGCCTTCACATTATAAATAATGGAAAAGAAAGAGGAGCAACCATTGATTAGAGTGTGTTTGAAGTACAAACCTTTAAAAATCTAAGATTTTATTTCGGTGTTCCATGTTTCCTGGAAAAACTAGTATAATCCACTATGTTGCTAATAAGTTTCGTAAGCATGATTACCCTTACTGTTTCAATGTGATTTCACGCATTTATTAAATCTTATTCTTGACATTTTAGAGTCACTTTTTATGCTATATGAAACAAACTCTCTTTATAAATTGATAATGACGTACTTTAGAACCCTGTTCAAACACGCTTACTATCTAATCAACCTATTGTTCTTGTAACATTTTGTAATTGTCTAATTTATTGGTAAATTTCTCAACAATTTCCTTATATTCAATGCAGGTACATCCATACTTCTTGACCTGTTTCTCAGGATCTATTTAGAGGGCGACTAAATGCAACTGGGTCAGTTTGTATGTTGGCATGAAGTGGTTGGGCGAATCCAAGAACATGGTAGTGAATGGAAGACGACACGGAAGCAGGCATTCTTCTGAGCACCAGCAGAGTCATTCAAAACATCACAATTCAGGAAGAGAAAATTTAAGAAGCAGCAAACATGTTCCAGACCGAAGATCAAGTAGGTGTAAGTATGTGTTGTGTACTCCTAGAGAGATTCTATAGGTTTTACAAAGCTAGAGCCAGGAAAGCTGCTTTATTACTTCATTGTCTCAATGAATTGGTTTTCAAGAGAAAAATGGATAGTTGCACTGTATGGTGTTAATATTAATGTTTCCCTAACATTTTAATTTGTGTTTTTTTTGTTTTAAATTTTTTTTGTCTATTTACTTGTGTTTTTATCATTTAATCTCCAATTATTATAGGTAGCGGAAGTACTGCTGTGTTTGAGAGTCAGAGTCGCTATGTACCTTCTTCAGGAATGTCTGCCAAGGAACTGTGTGAAAACGATGACCTTGCAACCAGCTTGGTGTTGGATCCATACTTAGGGTTTCAGACACACAAGATGAATACCAGGTAATTCTTGTAGGATTCAAAAGATTTGTGCTAAACGTCCGTAGTATTTTAATTATGTTCCAATTCAGTGCCAGAGGAGCATTGGGGACTTGATGCGAATGAGCGTTGTTTGGACATCCAAGCTTCCCTATAAGAAAGCATTGAATCAGTGCTTTTCTATGGGGAAGGCCACATCATGTGACAGTTTTACTTGGTCAGTGCTGCGGAAGCACTTCTAGTGGCTGTCAGTATTAACCCTTTAATGTGAACATTGCAGTTTCTTACAAAACAAACACACAAGAAAAAACTAACGTACCTTTGCACCTAAGCCACTTGATGGAGATTAAGTGGCCTGGGTGACTTTAGTGGTCCTTTAATAATCAGTTTTGTTTTATAGATCATTCCCCTGCAGCTCCACTGCTCAATTGTCTGCCGTGTAGGGGTTAAATCACTTTGTTTATGCAGCCCATGCACCGCTTTTTCCCTGGCTGCATCTTGTACAGTCTCCATATGAAAAATAATTCATTTTGAAATAGCTATTATTGTACAATGTGTTTAGTTTAGAAATGATCTCATGCTCTTTAATGTAACTTTAAAGGGATAGTTTAGGCACCATAAAAGCTTCATCTAAATGAAGTTGTTGTGGTGTCAGGAGGCCCAAGAATCACTCTTACCCCAAGGGATTAAATATGCTGGCGTTGACACCGCCCCAGATGCCCCTCCTTGGCTGAGATCATCAGAATGGATGATCTCAGCCAATTCAATGCTTTCCCACAGGAAAGCATTGGGAGGCTAATGCGCTCTCGCAGTAATACGACGCGCTGGTCAGTTAGCATCTCCTCATAGAGATGCATTGATGAAGAATGTTCAGCTTTTTCATGCAGGGTGTGGAGACGCTGAATGCGTGCAGCACTGACCCAGAAAGCACCTTTAGTGGCCGTCTAAGTGCCACTGGAGGTATTCCTAGGCAATAATGTAAACGGCAATGTTTACATGAAAATGCCTGCAGGGACATACCATACCAATTGCATTAAGCTATAGTTGTTCTGGTGACTATATAGTGTCCCTTTAAATGTTGAGCCCAGCGAGTGCCTGAAGTCTTTATTAGGATATACTATATGTAAGGGTGGCCCTACATAAGTAAAGCACCCTTTGGCAAAAATATAAAGATTTGAGCATGTGAAAATGCAGCATATTAATGAGGTCAAAACCTACCAATTGCATTAAATTTGCACTGATTTGTTCTGAATTCTGACTAAATTGTTCCATTTAACTACTAAATGGCAGAGAATTGAGTATTGAGTTTGCCGGGGCATTATCTGTACACCAAAACCACTCAATTAGGCTAAAGTTGTTTTGGTGCTTAGTGCCCCTTTTAAACATTTGTTTTGGTGGATCAGCTTTTCTGATGACTATTTGATTGAAAAACTGGTAAGAGTCAATCTTACACTGCTTTGAGATAGTACATCTTGGTAAGAAAAATCCAGATCTATTTGCAACATGTAGTTTAAGAGGAATGTTCTTGAAATTAACCCATGTCATTTGATTCTTCAGGTTTCGTCCAATAAAAGGCAGGCAGGAGGAGCTGAAAGAAGTGATCGAAAATTTCAAGAAAAATGAACACTTAGAGAAAACCTTTAGAAATCTGACATCAGGCGACTGGGCACGACACTATTTTCTTAACAAGAACAAAATGCAGGAAACTCTTTTCAAGGAGCATGTAGGTTTATTTAGAATGCACGTTCACTTTCAGTAATAGAACAAATTTGTGGTTTTAATCTTTTGGAGTGCAGAACGGTCGGCAAAGTATAGTAACGCTTTCTGACTACAACTTGGTTAATAATTTAGAAATGTTTTCCTATTTTAATGTTTATTCTCCAAAGTTAAGGTACTTGTTACAATGAATATGATTGTCAGATAAGAGAGCTCTGTTATACACACAACACATTATACCTGTCATCTAACACACAAATAGAAGAATAGAAGGGCCCTTGTTTTAATAAGTGAATAAACTGCAATTTGTGTTAAATCATATGGTAGCTTAAATATATTAAGCTCCATTTCAAAAGAGAATTTCACAAACCGTTAATGAAAATGTTGGTCGTAATCGGTTTCTTTCCTTTAGCTTCGTGTAATTCTACACCAGTTCTTCCTCCTGTGTTGACTTCTAACATGACATTTCTTCACCCTTGCATCATTACTTATTTTGCTTTTCTTTCTTTTTCATCTTCTTCTTTTTATTTATTTTCTTCTTTTTAGTTTGTAACTAAGTTTTTCCACTTTTGTAGTTGTCCCGTCGCCTTTCCTGTCATCCATCAGTGCTATATATTAACTAACGTTTTCTTTCCTTTCACTTTTCTGGATTTCTGGTGGTTACGACTGGAATTTTAACGGAATCCTAGTTTGCAGTAACAGAATTCTCTTCCATGCACTGAGCAGGTCTAATACAGTCTAATCAGCTGCTCTAAACAAGGAAGTGAGTCATGATACTGTGACAATGCAGTGATAGGATTGTATATGCATGTAACAGCTGACCGTGCTCCAGAGATCTCCACATATATGAATGCATTGCAAACATGCTTGCTTTACTCACAAAAGTGCACTATGTGACATTTAGAGTGTGTGTGTAAATATCTGTTTACATTTTTATTTATTTAGCAAAAAGTGGATTTTAATTGCGTTTTGCATTCAGTTGGATGTTTTATTGTGTGCCTGCGAGAGAAAATGTGCACACTTTACTTAATGTGTAAACCCCAAAGTGAATTTGCCATTAATATATTTATTTGTATTTTATTTTGTAGATTTAAAATCTCTCCATGGTATTATAACTTGGTATGTGTGCTATGATGCATTTTTCTTTTTAACAAAAAAAAATGATTTCCTGTTCTTTATGATGCTACTTTATGCAGTATCAGATTACTAATTTTAAGTAAAAAGGCTCTTCTCAAAAATAAAATCTGCATCAATGCTTAATAACTTAATTTAACCATTTTGTTACACATTAAAGTCTTTAAATTGTCTTAAAGAGCAGTCTAAGCACTATAACCAATACAGACAGCTGTAGTAGTTATGGTGCCAAGAGTTCACTGGAGCTGGCCCACCATAAATAAACAGTCTTCGCAACAATTTGAAACTTACAAAGATCTCCTTAGACACTTGCAGGGCTTCCTCTCTTCTGGATACCAGCTAACGCGTCGTTATTGAATAATGTCCAAATATAGACAAAATGTATAGATTTTAGTGAAGACTTAAAGAACGTGTACACATGGGACCAACATAAATGTCAAATGGTTATTATGGGATGGTGGGCTGTAGTTTTTCTGGTGCTTAGATCGCTTATTTAATAATGGAAATCAAGGATCAAAGTGCAGTGATTTTATCGGTTTTATGCTGGTGTCATTTCAACATAGGGATCTAGGTTTTAAAAAAATGTTTTTCTAGGTTGTGGATGTGGATACAAAGTTTTTCTGTCTTAGGACGCAGGGAGTGTAACTCTTCCGCCCTCTCCCAATAAATGTTTCTTGCACTCAAGATTTCAAGTGAATAACTTTGTTGTTATTATTCCTAAATATTATTTCTTCTTAAACCAACACATGGGTTGTGATTTGTCTTTACACAGGTTTTTATCTACTTGCGAATGTTTGCAACGAGCAGTGGCTTTGAAATCTTGCCTTGTAATAGATATTCCTCAGAGCAAAATGGAGCCAAAATAGTTGCAACTAAAGAGTGGTATGTATATTTTGTAATTATTTGACTTTGTTCTTAAAATATTTTTTTCCAGGAAATGATACATTATTACTTTTGCAATAGGAAACGAAATGACAAGATTGAACTTCTTGTGGGATGCATCGCAGAGCTTTCTGAGGTGGAAGAAAACATGCTCCTTCGTCATGGGGAAAATGACTTTAGCGTCATGTATTCTACAAGGAAAAACTGTGCCCAACTTTGGCTTGGACCTGCTGCTTTTATCAACCATGGTAAGTTAAGTGTTTTTAGATTTACTTGTACATATGTAAATTGAATGAATTTCACTTTATGCAACAGTTGGACACCTGTCCTACATCTGTTGTAAGATTTCTCTTGTCTGTTTGGACACAAAAATAGATTGACAGTGGACTAAACCTAATTAAACCTTATAATCTACTCTCTTCTCTGTCTATTCAGTAGCTTTACTTGCTTTTTTAGCAAGATAGCTTTATGCATATCTAAGCCATTTCTGGCAACAATTAATTGTCAATGAAAAAAATATTTAAAAACTGATTTTACAGCTAGTAGAAAACTACAGCATTGAATAAATAAACAATAATGCAGCTTGTATATAGAATTCAGTAAGGGTTTGAAAGGACAAATGTAATTTTCCAGAAATAACCTATTAATATGCAAAAATTTGAATGTAAACGTGAAAATGTAATCTTAACAGAGTTGTCATAAATATAATTAAAGGGTTCATGTGACCATCCTGCTTTATTACATTACACACATAGAACCAATGATTTATTTATTTTTTTGTAATGCTGCTCCCACTTACTCCAAAAGTGTTAGTAGCATTCATACCCCTCTAGTACCAGGTTGGGGCGCTCTTATTGTGGCCAATGTAGTTCATTCTTATCCTACAAATATCTGTCCAGCAGGAGTTTATAGGAAAAAAAGTTTTTTTCACTCATCATATGTAATGTTTATAACTGCTGCGTGATATGGGAACAGAACATAGTGAAGTGTGCTATGTGCATTCTCTGGAGTTCTGTCCAACTGGTATGTGTTTGTGTGTGCACGCTCCACACATAAAATTTATATCAGGAAAATGCAGAACACAAGAATTTGTGTGTATTGTAATTAAACCTATTGCTCCCCCCGCTGTAGGCCTTTCAACTAAGTGCGGGGTATGTAGGGCCATTTACCTACAATAGACAGCAAGAGATAACACTTTGTGTTCACATGTGAACTCTTAACATTGATTACTGTCATAGTGTTGATCTTGTCTCTGTATGCAGCATTCTTGAGGCTGCTCCTGAGAGAAGTGATTTCTATGAGTGGTCCTGGACTTGAACTGTAATTTAAAATATACATATAGACATTAATTACTGTTTTATATACTTTACCTTTTTCTTTTCTTGAATTTTAAAAATATATATTTTTTTTTTATCCCTTTCCTAGATTGCAGACCTAATTGTAAGGTAAGAACTTTATGAATCATCTTAGTTAAAGAGTGTTTTTTTTTTTTTGTTTTTTTTTTAATATTGTTTAAGAGGGTACACCCTTGGTCCTCCAGGCAGTGATGTTTTTAAATATTCAGCTTAACCTAGTCCAAACCATATTGGCACTGCTTTTTACTACACTTGCACGTACAAGATCATGCACTCTCATACACAACGGTGCTATCTCTGCAGTCTACCAGGCAAGCCAGGATGAGGGGACTGCCCTGTTCTGCAGTAGGCAGGTGTTGTTGAAATATTGCCCTGTATGCCACAATCCACAGCCAGTTGTGGTTACTGGACCACACTGCTTTGCTTGTGTCTCAGTGCCAGTGCAGCATTAAACTCTCACTGCCCAGTATCCTTTTCCCTTGCTCTGCTAGATAGCAGTAGAGGTGCTGTTCATCTAACATTTGTATAGGATAAGAATGTGGAGCAGTCATCAGGGTTATACTTGTGGTTTCCTGAGTAATTACTCACTTTATGACACTCTAGGATTTATTTCCTCCTTTCTAATAATAATAATAATAATAATAATAATAAAAAAACACAACACCTATCCCCCTTTTGAATTGTGTATTTGCTTCAGATCTTTTGCTTGCTTCTTCTGCAGTGATCTCTTAACAGTCTTTGAAGTAGCTAAGGCAATTTTTTGCCCCTCAACATGATGTATGTATCTCAGCACTTGGGAGCAGTTCCATTAACTATGTAATGTGATTCCTGAAGGCTCAATTTATTTTTATGTAGAAGGAGCTAGCAGATGCGATTGTGCCACTGCTCTGGCTCTTTATGGTATGTATGAGAAGTTGAGAAATTTATAATACATGCCACAATGTACAAATAATTGGTCAGAGGAGAAAGTGTGTATATAGCTTCTACCTGTGACATGTCACTAAGGGGTGTGTTTTTTTTTTTTTTTCCAAACCTGTTCAATTTGTATTGCAAGGGGTGGTGGGGCTCCTTGCATCATAGCCTAATCGAAGAGCACATGCTGCTTGGAGTGACTCCTAGCTTGCAGTAACAGAATTCTCTTCCATGCACTGAGCAGGTCTAATACAGTCTAATCTAAGCCCCACTTTGCTATTTATATTGCATCTAATGAAGTAGAGTAATATGAAAAACAGTGACACTCTGTTAAATGTTACTTGTAAAAAAAAAATGAGACTAGAGCTTTATATTTGTTAATTCCAATTGCAGTTTGTATCGACTGGCCGTGACACTGCATGTGTGAAAGCTCTACGAGATATTGAACCTGGAGAAGAGATTTCCTGTTATTACGGGGACGGCTTTTTTGGAGAGAACAATGAGTTTTGTGAATGTTATACATGTGAAAGGTATATTTGTGGCTTTTTTTTTTTTTAAATCTGCTTTTTTAAATTGAAATCCTGGCAATCACTTTATATTGATTTTTATAAACTTTTAATGAATTAAGTAAGCACTTGTATATTGCAAGAGTCGGTACTCTACAAAAGAAAAGTGATGTACTGAGAAAGGATTAGTTTAAAATGTATTTTGATAATGGTATTCTGCAAAATTGACTAGTTGCCTTTAAAATATAACTTTGAATATGTCAAGTAACAGTATTCTGAATCCAGCACATACAAGAAGCTATTGCCATTGTGTTGGTAGGAAGGAGTTGGGAGTAGTGCCTTGATGTGACCTCAAGTGATATATGCAATGAAAAAGAGGACAGTGGGGAATAATATAGTGTAATACTTGATACAACTGTTGTATGGAGAAAAAAAAAGAGATGATATTGTGCTACATGGCTCCTATAGGATGTACTTGGACAGTACAATCTCCACTTAAAGGGATACTCCAGGCACCCAGAACACTTCTGCCCATTGGAGTGGTCTGGGTGCCAACTCCCACTACCCTGAACCCTGCAAGTGTAATTATTGCAGTTTTCATAAACTGCAATATTTACCTTGCAGGGTTAAGTCCTCCTCTAGTGGCACATGCGCATTAGGTCTCCCCCGCTGGCTGATGTTTTAACCACTTTAGCAACTTGGAATGGGAGGGGGAGGGGCACTACAGGGTCCTGCAGTGACAGGAAAACTATTATTTTCCTGGCACTGGAGAATCACTTTAAGAATATGTGGTGTGTCTCTTGGTCTCCGTGGATGGTCTAGAACAAGGCTTTGGCAGAAGTTGCCAAAATAGTAAACGAAAAGTTAGCATTTAGTAATTGTAAAAGAAAAAACTAAAATGAGGAAGATAGACAGATCTATAAGATTAGGCAGAAAGAGCTTCCACATCACACACAGAAGAGAAAATTGCACAGTCAGTTGTTAAAAAAACAAAACAAAAAAAAAACATTTTTTAGATAAATGTTTAAAAAATAAATAACAAAAGAAGGAAGGTATGTAGAAGGGGATAAAAGTCTAGCTGACTGATATTTTTGTTCAGTATTTCCAGATGAAAATAAAGGCAAAGGGACCTCACTTCGGATAAAGGACCAATGAGTCATTTGTTACATTTGAGTTTACAGAGGAAGAGGTTCTATTTCAGCTGTCAAAAGTAAAGACAAATAAGTTGATGGGGCCTGATGGAATACACCCAAAGTTATTAAAAGAGCTTAGTGGTGTACTAGCAAAACCATTTACGGATTTAATCCATTTTTAACAGGAGTAGTCCCAGAAGATTGGAAGTTAGCGAATGTTTTACCCATTCACAAGAATGATAGTAGTGAGGGGTCGGGCAACTATAGGCCAGTACTTCAGTAGTGGGGAAAGTAATGGAAACCATGTTAAATGATAGGAATGTTGAACATCTAAAATCACATGGATTTCAAGATCAGAGACAACATGGGTTTTCTTCAGGGAGTTCATGCCAAACTAACCTTATTGATTTTTCTGATTGGGTAACTAAAATAATCGATCAAGGTGGTGCAGATTTCAGTAAGGCTTTTGACACTGTTGCACATAGAAGGCTTATCAATAAACTGCAAGCTTTGTTTGGATCCCAATATTATTAAATGGGTAAGGCAGTGGCTAAGTGACTGGCAACAGAGGGCTGTAGTCAATGGAGGTTATTCAAACCATGGTCTTGTTACCAATGGGGTACCTCAGGGATTTGTACTTGGACCCATTCTCTTTAATATTTTTATTAGTGATATTGCAGAAGGTCTTGATGGTAAGGTATGTCTTTTTGCTGATGATACTAAGATATATAACAGGATTGATGTTCCAGGAGGGAAAAGCCAAATGGCAAATGATTTAGGTAAACCTGAAAAATGGTCAGAGTTGTGGGAACTGACATTTAATATGGATAAGTGTAAGATTATGCATCTTGAATGTAAAAATCCAAGGGCAGAGTACAGAATATTTGATAGTCCTAACCTCAACATCTGAGGAAAGGGATGTAAGGGTGATTATTTCTCATGCCTTAAAGGTAGGCAGACAATGTAATAGAGCAGCAGGAAATGCTAGCAGAATGCTTGGTTGTATAGGGAGAGGTATTAGCAGTAGAAAGAGGGAAGTGCTCATGCCATTTTACAAAGCACTGATGAGACCTCACTTGGAATATTGTATGCAGTACTGGAGACCATATCTCCAGAAGGATATTGATACCTTAGAGAGAGTTCAGAGAAGGGCTACTAAGCTGGTTCATGGATTGCAGGATACAACTTACCCTGAAAGGTTAAAGGATCTTAACATGTATAGCTTGGAGGAAAGACGAGACAGGGGGGATATGATAGAAACATTTAAATACATAAAGGAATCAACACAGTAAAGGAGGAGACTATGTTTAAAAGAACTACTACCACAACAAAAGGACATTTTTAAACCTTTGCCCATCTAAATTTAAGACTATCAGGAAGTATTACTTTACTGAGCGGGTAGTGGATGCATGGAATAGCATTCCAGCTGAAGCAATAAAGGTTAACACAGTAAAGGAGTTTAAGCACGCGTGGGATAGGCATAAGGCTATCCTAGCTATAAGACAAGGCCAGGGACTAATGAAAGTATTTAAAAAATTGGGCAGGCTAGATGGGCCGAATGGTTCTTATCAACCATCTCATTCTATGTTTTTCTAGGGTGCCCAAAAGGTAGGTCCCCAGATGTTGTAGAACTACAACTCCATGGTGCTTGCATGCTTTTAGAATGCTTTGAAATGACAAAGCATCATGAAAAGATGTAGTTTATAAACATCTGGTGATCTACCTTTTAGGCACCCCTGGTCTAGAAGTATGAAACAGAAATGGACACTATAGTGTAGTAGTTTGGGATATTTTAGTCTATAAAATAGGTGGATAAAAATTGCTCTTACACTAATTGGAGCCTTGTGCATGGCTCCTTGAAACAGCGTGGAATGGTATAATTCCCACTCTAAGCATGTGTTAATGGTGCATTACCTTCTCTGGGGTATTTATATGTAAAAGGCAAAAAACGATTGTATAGTGCACAATGTATGTAAGGTAGGTAATGTAAATGATAAATTAATGTGTTTCACCAGAGGGCGTAATTTTTTTTTTTTTTAAGCTCTATACTGTGGTGTAACGCATTAGTGTTATTTTTAATACTTTTTGTTTAGAGATGCACCGAAATTTCGGTCAAAATGGGCCTATTCCGTTTCGGCCGAAAACTGGTTAAATTTGCCGAAGGTTGTGTGTTTTTTTTTTTTTAAATAAAATAATTTTTTTGGGGGGGACGACAGAACACTATGGGACAGGAGGGGGTAGAAAAGAACACCATGGGACAAGGAGGAGATGGACAAGGAGGGGAGAACACTATGGGACAAGGGAGGGGGGGAGAACACCATGGGACAAGGGAGGGGGGAGAACACCACTATGGGACAAGGGGAGGGGGAGAACACCACCATGGGACAAGGGGGGGGAGAAGAACACCATGGGACAAGGAGGGAGGGGAGAAGAACACTATGGGACGAGGGAGGGGAGAAGAACACTATGGGACAAGGGAGGGAGGGGAGAAGAACACTATGGGACAAGGGAGGGAGGGGAGAAGAACACTATGGGACAAGGGAGGGAGGGGAGAAGAACACTATGGGACAAGGGAGGGAGGGGAGAAGAACATTTAGCAGGGGGACCACTAAAAGAGAAGGGATAAGGGTAGCCTTTTCAGATTAGATTAATTTAATTAATTAAAATGTCTAATATTAATAAAAATTATTGGGAAAAAACTTTTTAAAAATCATTTGGGGGGAAAAAAGTCCTTTTCGGTTTCCGGTCAAGGGCATCCAGAATTTTCGGTTTCAGCCCAGAATGTATTTCGGTGCATCCCTACTTTTGTTTTATCACTTTTTCATCCTATCTGAATCTGGAACTCCACAAATGTTCTGGACCTCATCCTCCATGGTGGGGAGTGTAACACCAGAACCTTATGGAGTGAGCAGAATCTTACTTTGCTCCAAAGCTAGTAAATTGATTTTCATTCATTTACCTTATTAGCTCACATATAGTGTGCACTATATAATTGTATTTTGTCTTTTACATAAATCACGGAAGTGCATCTCTTGTCTGTCGGTTGTCTGAGCTACCTTCTTGCATTTACCAATACCCTTCCAGCGGTGAACCTTTTTTAAAATTATAACATTGCCTCATGCAGTGGTGGTGTATCCTGGTTTTGTGCTGCCCTAGGCATGATAAAACTATCTTTAGGAGTGCTGGGATGGACTCACGCTTTCCCTGGGGTCCAGTGGGGCAGTTGGGTGGCCGGCCACTGCTGTCGGCGAGGGAGCACTGATCCTCCTGTTCAGCTCCCTCGCGCACTGTATAATGGTGCCGGGGCCAGAGTGAAATGATAATGCACGCCAGTGAGCTGAACAGGAGGATCAGTGCCCCCTCGCCGCCTGCCCGGAAAGTGCTGCTGCTGTCAGCCTCGGGGGGATCCTGAGGGGGCCAGCTGGCCAGCTCCTGGGCCCCCCAGAACAAGAGGCTGGCAAGGCATTTGCCAGGGTGATTGGGGTGCGGCTTATTTTGCCGCCCCCCAGAAAGTGCCGCCCAAGGCAAATGCCTTGCCAGCCTCGCGGTAAGTACAACTGTAGGAAGGCGCACTAATGGCCAGAAATCAAGGGTGCTATCTTATAGAGTACTCCCTAACGTGTTCTATATTACACACATGTAAATATACTAAGGATGCTTCCTTCCTTCCAAAAAGTACATGTTTGTGTGTGTAAGTATGTTCATCCAAGAATCTAATCAGCCCATATAATTTAAACCGTAATATTGACCTTTTTATTATCAGGCGGGGAACGGGTGCTTTTAAATCTCGAGTTGGACTTCACGAACCAGGCCTTGTGATCAACAGCAAGTACGGGCTAAGGGAAACAGACAAGCGTTTAAACAGGCTAAAGAAACTTGGGGACAGCAGCAAAAATTCTGACAGCCAGTCAGTCAGCTCCAATACAGACGCAGACACATCTCAGGAAAAATCCAACATATGTAAGACATAAAGAGGAAATGTTGTAATTGTATTTATCATTGTGTTTGTTTTTTTGCATTTCTATGTAATTATTTCTGTACATCAAGTTTGTGTGTGTGTATATAAATAGTTCTGGATATTATATACTCTGTGCCATTCGCATAAATCTAGATGTTGTAAAGAAAAGGTCTGTAGTGTTGTTGTGTTTGTGCACATGTTTAGTTTTCCTTGATTTAATAAAGCGCTTATGCACAAATTAAAGGACCACTCTAGGCACCCAGACCACTTCAGCTTAATGAAGTGGTCTGGGTGCCAGGTCCTTCTAGGGTTAACCCATTTTTTTTTTATAAACATAGCAGTTTCAGAAAAACTGCTATGTTTATGAATGGGTTAAGCCTTCCCCCTAATCCTCTAGTGGCTGTCTCATTGACAGCCACTAGAGGCGCTTGCGTGCTTCTCACTGTGATTTTCACAGTGAGAGCACGCAAGCGTCCATAGGAAAGCATTGTATATGCTTTCCTATGTGACCGGCTGAATGCGCGCGCAGCTCTTGCCGCGCGTGCGCATTCAGCCGACGAGGAGGAGGGCTCCCCGCCCAGCGCTGGAAAAAGGTACATTTTTACCCCTTTCCCCTTTCCAGAGCCGGGCGGGAGGGGGACCCGGAGGGTGGGGGCACCCTCAGGGCACTATAGTGCCAGGAAAACGAGTATGTTTTCCTGGCACTATAGTGGTCCTTTAAGTGTTAGAGCACAACCAAATATTTATACTTATTTACGTGATAATTGCTGCAAATATCGACCGCTTGCTTTACACTAAACAACTTAATGTCTAGAAGTAACTTTGGAAGTGCTTCAAACTGGGTTTATTGCCTTCTTCTGGATCAACAGCAAAAACAAATGTGAGAAAGATGGAACTTGATGGACACATGTCTCTTTTCAGCCCATGTAACCTTAACAAAGGAAGAGAAAATGCAGACTTGCTCAATTCGTATTTTACAGAATTCTAACAAAAAATTCTTGGATATCCGATTTGATTAAAAAAATAGTGAAAAATACCATACTATGGCACAAGCTTGTACCTGATCTTGTTGCAAATTTAAATATCTCTTCAGGTTAATGATTCCATTAGTAGCAATGATTGGTCCCAAGTAGTTGTATTCACAACATAAAATGGGTTAACATTAAAACATTCCACTACTTGCTCCTTTAAATACTCCAATCTCCCCTTTTTATAATGGGGACAATCTTCCTGTTTTTTATGCATTGGAAAAACCTTCCACTCCCTGCATTGTTTACAAAGGTCCAGAATAGCTTATGAATGCAAAGTGTGACAAAATACCCTAAATCCTAGCTGACAAGAGGTTAAAAATCATTTTGATGAAAACACTGCTTTGAGCTTTAACCCCTTAAGGACACATGACATGTGTGACATGTCATGATTCCCTTTTATTCAAGAAGTTTGGTCCTTAAGGGGTTAAACAAAGGCATAATGATTTGCTGTACGCCAAAAAATAAAAAACACCTTTCACTGTTTCTTGAATAATCTCTGGTGCAATCCCCCTTGTGTAAAGCATGCTATTCCTGATATCTCCTTCACATAGGAGTCTAGATTATACCACTTTGTAGTGTTTCCAAAATACAGAATATTTATTAAAGGTTAGACAAGATACTAGTTGCTAAGCACACTTTTTTTTAAGATGTTTTTAATCCAAATCCTTGTTCATCCATTTACCAGTGTTTCTGATGCACATTGTGTCACTTCATAGTTATTACAATTGGCCATTAATATTTTATTTTAGTAAAAACGTAATAAGTGGTTTTATTATTTATTTATTTATTTTTTGTGTTGTGAACTTTTAAGATCTCATCTGTGGATTTTCCAGAGCGGACATAATCCAGTCTGCTGGGTTCATAAAATCTTCTGTGATGTTTTAAAATGTATGTATATCATTGTTTGAGATTACAGCAGAGATTACCTACGACAGTCTCCAAGATGGTTTTTGTTCAATTTTCCTCTATATTTCTGTCTTTCAGCAACAAACAGAAAATCTGCTGCTGTTAAAAAGAATGGCAAAACTAGAGCCTTGAGAAGACAGTCAATGTCAAGAATTACTGTTTCATCCACTTCTACCTCATCCAAGCTTACTCATGTAAATAATTCCAGGGTACCAAAGAGACTGAGAAAGCCCGTTAAGCCTTTACATTCAAAAAGTAAAATGAGACATCCATTCAGAAGATCAGAACAGAAAAACACATCTAAAAAGCTTGAAGTAAGCAGCCTGGTTCTTAAAGAACCTAAAGTAGTCCTTTACAAAAACTTGTCCATTAAGAGGGATGGAGAAAGTGAGGAACCAGTTAAAATAACAGAATCTACTGGTTGTTTAACAAGACATGCAGCAAGAGAATATAAAATGAATTCCTTCAAAGGTGCTCATGACCATGATGATTCTTCACCATGTACATATATCACTCGAAGTTCTGTGAAAACAAGGAACTCTACATCTGAGATATCTGATGCCAAGCTTCAACCAAATACAATGGATGGTTACAGAAGCAGTCGTGGGTTAAATTCACATTTGGACAGAACTGAATCTCATGGACAGTCATTGCATAAGGATGAAGTACACCAAGAAACCCAGAAAAGAAGGGAACGCAGACACACGAAAAACGGTTTATGTAGATCTAGAAGGAAGTTTAGGCAGACTAAGACCATAAAAGAGACATCTAAAGCAGAAGTATCAACGTCCGTCTTTGAATCCTCTGACAAAAATGAGGCCATGCCTGGTTTGGTAAGTTCTGATTGTGACTCTTTTGTGGGAAATGCCATAATGGGTAGCCCTGTTGATTTTAAAGACCACCGGTCCTCATCAGATGAGTGCCCAGTGGTCAGTTCAGAATCCATGAGGCCAAAAGAAAATGTTCGAACTGTCAAAAATAAAAAAAGCAGACGAATCACAAGATATGATGCACAATTAATTCTTGAAAATAGCACTGGAATTCCAAAGCTTACTCTTCGTAGACGTCATGACAGTAACAGCAGTAAAACCAACGAGAAGGAAAATGATGGCATGAGCTCATCAAAAATTAGCATTAAATTAAGCAAAGATCATGAAAAAGACAAGAACAGCTTATACGTAGCAAAACTTAACAATGGTTTTAACTCAGGATCAGGCAGCAGTTCCACAAAACTAAAAATACAGTTAAAGAGAGAAGAAGAAAACCGGTCCTTTCCTGAGGAGCTGCATGAAAATGGAGTATATTGTAGCGACACTTTGTCTCTGTTGGGAACAAGGATGGAAGTGGATAAATATGATCATTATGAGGAAGAAAGCATTGAAGAGTCATCTAGTGAAGAGGAAGGAGAAGATGACGACTATGATGATGACTTTGAAGATGATTTTATCCCTCTTCCACCAGCAAAACGTTTGAGACTTATTGTTGGGAAGGACTCAATAGACATAGATATTTCTTCCAGGCGGAGAGAAGATCAGTCTTTAAGGCTTAATGCGTGAAGCAGACATTTTTAGACTGACCAGAACACTCATTTCTATTCAACACTTATGTAAAAAATATCTTATTCCATTGAAATATTCCTAAAGTGAACTTTCTGTAAATTTTAGACACAGCACTTCAGTACCGTTAGTCCACTCTGAATTAAAATTGTAGAAAATGTACAGCTTGACAACTTAATTTTTTGATTTTTATTGTACTTTTTAAGTCTTCTTACGTGCAATTTTAAGTTAGAGAAAAAAGAAAAAAAAAAAGTGGATTCTGTTGTATATCACAGAAGGCATTTATACATCCTTGGCAAACTCTTCATGCAGGACAATAGGCTAATAACATGGCTACCCAACCATATTTGTTTTAACTCATAGGAATTTTACAGTGTCATAAATGTTAACAAAAATCACAGTAGACATTAAAATTTTTCTAGTATGTTATCACCAGCAATGAATTTACAGCTTTCAAATTTATTTGCTAGATGTCTTGTGCCCCCAACTTCTGCTTGTCAGGAATTTGTCTATTTTATACTGTAATGCTTTCCTGGAAGTAATGTCTGTGGCCTTTGTTAGTAGCAAACTTCATTGAGAGTCAAATTAATTGCTTAAAAACCCAGAAATTTGACACAAAAATGGTATTACGTTTGCAAATACTTTTAGCACATTTTTATGTACAGAGGCTAGCCGTATGCAGAATAAAAGTTTGGATATGGTGTATTTATTGCTTGTTATATAAATGAAAGACAAAAAGTCTTGTATTTAACACTTTAAACGATTTCTAGATTAAAAAAAAAAAAAATTGTTCTTTGCAAGAATAATTGGTGCTTAAATTTTTTTTCATGGGAAAAAATGCTGTGAAATAAAAATGTGACAAGGAAAATGTACCCATTTCAATGCAGCTGTCAACTTTTTTTTTTTTACTTTTTTTTTTTTTTACTTTTTTTACTTTTTTTTTTTTTTTTGATGTTGCACTTTGCTAAGGCTGATAATTTAGAATTTGTCTGACAATTTAGAGTTATGGGTATGTCAGTTAATCATCTTTTGTATAAACCTAAAATTGTAAATACTAATGTAAATACTGTGTGTTGTGAAGATCTTTTTCCTTTGTTTTCCATAAAGAACTGATTTACCATACCAGAAAAGTTTTTAAGTTAAATACTTATGCCAATAAAATAGGAAATTGTAAACCTAATTTTAATCATTTTTGTCTTTAATGTTTGCAATACCACCATCTAGTGAGAACTGAAGTGAAATGTGAAAAAATATTTTAGCTTGTGTTTGGATATTCTTTAAAACTCTATCTATACAAACTCTATCTATACTAATGGAAAGTCTTTTATTAAACACTGTATTTTAAACTATGTATTAATTTGAGAACTACTCATGGTTGTTCAGTTGCACATAACTGGAAGGGACAGTCTAAGCATCACAATCTAATTAAGTGATTTTGGTGCATAGATGCTACCCCCTTTTGAGAAATGGTAATGTTTACATTTAGCAATTTTAACGCTTGTAGTAGGTTTTAGACAACACCCACTAAGGCCTTTAGACAAAAATAAACAATCTTTTATAGGGATCGACCGATATTGATTTTTTTTTTTTTTTTAGAGCTGATATCGATATGTGAACTTTCAGGCCGATAGCCGATAACCTGCCGATATTCTGTACATTTACCATTTTGAAAAAATTAACTATTTCTAAAGGTAAATGCACAAAATATACATGCCACATGTATTGGATGCAGTGTGTTTAGACAGGGGAGCTGTGTGTGTTTGTGTAGTGGATGCAGTGTGTATTTGGTAGTGTGTATAGTGAATGCAGTGAGTGTGTGTTGTATAGTGAATGCAGAGTTTATATATAGTGAATGCAGTGTGTGTGTATATAATGAATACAGAGTGTGTGTTTGTGTAGTGTGTGTATATAATGAATGCAGAGTGTGTGTTTGTGTAGTGTGTGTATAGTGCATGCAGTGTTTGTGTAGTGTGTGTGTGTGTATATAGTGCATGCAGTGTTTGTGTAGTGTGTGTGTATATAATGAATGCAGTGTTTGTGTAGTGTGTGTATAGAATGCAGTGTGTGTTTGTGTAGTGTGTGTATAGAATGCAGTGTGTGTGTGTGTGTGTGTGTAGTGAATGCAGTGTTTGTGTTTGTGAAAAATTTGGTGGGGGGAGGTGGAGGGGCATTTTCGAATATTGGCAGATAATCGGCCAATCCCTAATCTTTTACATCCGATATTAGCATGCAAAGTATGCTGATACTGTGTGTGTGTCCCGTGCTTATCTGATGTTGGTCTGTATGCCTACAAAATAATACATTTATTTTCCTTTATTCTATCTATTCCTTGACCCTACCCATTGTGCAGCACTGACTCAGGAAGCACCATATGAGTGACTGCCATTAGAGGTGTCCATAGGCAGTAATGTAAACACTGTCTTTTCTCTGCAAATAGCCTGCAGGGACTGACTATACTCAGACTATCTACATTAAGCTGTAGTTATTCTGGTGACTAGAGTGTCCCTTTAAAGGGACATGCATCACGTTGTGACCATGGACTCATTCAAAAGCTTTAGTTTTGAATGAGACAGTTGCCTCACTGTGCAGGGTGAATAAATGCTGGTAAATATACTCTTTCATGTTTAACTGCATCTTCTTTCTTATGTTTTCCACACCCACTCTGGGAGGCACACTGATTTAACTAATTAGTGTTGTATCCTTAAGAGTGCTGGAAATGTGGATTGGGCATGTCTGACCAGTCTACAGATGCAAAATTTGAATATCTCTTCACCTTACAACATTTGACGGGGAGAAGTGAAGTGAGTATGATCAGTGTGATTCGTGCAGGCTCTGGTTTTGGTTATCTTTGTTATAAATCTTAATTATTTTTTTTTTGTACTGTTTCTTAAAGGTTACAACATACATGTAAGAGAATTCGGTACAGTCTGTTCCAATACAGTTTCAAGGATAGAGTATTATGTAAAGTATACAATTGTCTCATTAGCTGGTATTGTTTTTTTAAATCTATTCCGACCTTTGCTTAACCATGGCCGGAGCTATCAGAGGAATAATCCATATAAAATACAGAGTTAGGAAGATAGAAGATAGAAGAGAGAATAGGACAGGAAGAAAAGCTAGCGCCAGCTCTTCTGCATGCCTGCCACTCAACTTCATGTTTGTTATATAATTCTACTACTTTTCTTCCACTGAGCAGGCACCTAAATTTTTATAGCCAAAGCCAGGATGATCCCAACCCACCAAATAGATATTTAGTCTTGGGCTTACCTATTACCACCTTAACCTGTTGTCCTATCTCAACCTAAGTATCCATTGGGTACCATTGTTTTGTGTGTTTGACTCTGTTAACCCTCAGAGTATATCAAGAATTTGCCTGCTTGAATCTCCTCTATCAGGGCTGTTTTGTGGGGGTAGGGGGTTTGACATGAAGTAAGTTGTTTTAGTATGCAAACAAGGGTGGGTGTCATATCTGTGAGGGTATCCAAAAATGCCTGATTGATCCTATCTCCCCTCCACATCTAGTCTGGAGAAACTGATGGGAAAATCTTATGTAAAAATTGCGGTACCACTGAGAGAAGTTTTTAGTTGACTTCCTAATATCTCGAGCTGATAAAACTCTTATTGTGTAGGATAAGGACCTTACTTTATTGATTAGTTGTGAAAGAAGTTTCAAGGATTCTCTCTTTAAACGGAGTAGGCTCCCCCCATCCAGTAGTATTATCTGGTGAAGGTTCGAGATGGACATCGACGCTCCCCACGCACAGGGTTTCAAACCAGGTCTATTACCTATGAAATGCCTTCCTGTCAGGAATGGTTAGATAAAAGTGTTTAATTTGCATATATCGATATTTTTTCTAAGGCAGTGGGTTCCCAAAACCCAACAGTTCAAGTCACGTATGTCACCTGCGCCCATCACCTGTCCGATGGGAATAAACAATTTCTAACTTAAAAACTTGATATCCCTGGCTGATAATCGTCCTACTAGACTTTTCCTATGCATTAGAGGTCACAAGGGGCTTGGCGTTGGTGATATCCGTGTGGATCTGAATGGAGAATCACACTTTGAGCGTTTGTGATACCAGAGTGTTGTGTGTCAGTCTCTTAACTAGGACTATGGAAGTGTTCCATAATAGAGAAAGGAATAGGATATTAGAACCTGCCATGTCAAATGTTTGCCACAGTTTCATAGCGGATATATGATATTCCAGTACTCTTTCAGAGCAGTGGTGAAGTAGTACCAAGGCAGATCCAGAAGGCCACCCACCGCCAAACATATACAATCAAAATAGACCTCAAGAGTTAAAAACAAACAAAAAAAACCCCCCTCATTAAGAAAGTAGGGACTGTTTGCAACAAATATAGAATCCTGGATGTTTATTTTTAAAACTGAGATCCTCCGCAGCCGGTCATGTGTGGGTAATCCCAACGTTTGAAGTCCATTTGGAAGCTGCAAGTAGTTCCTTTGGTACAGCTTTTCTGGGTCGGAAGTGATGCAGACCCCTAGATATTTCATCTGGTCTCTTCACCAATGCAAATGAAATTGGGGATGCAACATCTCAAGCAAAATGTACTGTCATTTTATTTTCCCTTTCCCCTGATCTGAAACCTTTCACATTGGGGTCCTATCTAATTGTCTGACGCTATTATATATCTGCATGACATCAGACAGAGACAGTTCTCCAGCACTTGCTCACTGAGACAGGTGTAGAGTGAAGCGATCCATGTCTGGACTGTGCATTTTGAGAGGGTAGTACTCATGGAACACCCGGTCAAAAGCTTTCTCACCAACTGTTGACAGCAACAACAATAGTATATTGTGTCTTCTCGCTAGATGCTAGATGGCAAACCACTGCATGATTTTATTTTGACATTTAACAATGATATTGGCCTGTAGCTTGTCCTTTGTCATGGATCATTTCCTTCCTTGGGTAGTATTGTGAAATGGGATGAGAGTGAATAGATTTAGAAAGATTACCCCCTCCACAATTGAGTTCAAGGTTAGTGCTATGTAAATAATTGTAATAGTCCTTAAAATATAGATTAGATTTTTTATGGACAAGCTTCCAGTAACACTGAATTTGGGATTGTGCACAGGAATAATTTGTTGGGTTTGTATTAATATATTTAAATTAGGTTTCTACTATAGACAAAACAAAGAATTAGTCACATTGGTGATCTATGTATAAAGTGTCGTTTATCCATATCATTTAAAATTCAAAAACCGCCCGAACAGGGACTTGAACCCTGGACCCTCAGATTAAAAGTCTGATGCTCTACCGACTGAGCTATCCGGGCTGCTCTATAAATGAAGTTCATGCTGTTCCTGCAAAGAAAATGGTGATTATTGAGCTATATTCTCAATCATTACTACTATTACTCTACTTCTATTCTGAGCTTGTGACTGTGAACAATTTTTAGGTTTGACACAGATTTTACAACTAAAACTCAAAAATAAGCCCTGCTCTCCAAATGCATAAATAATACAAGACCAAAAAAAGTTACCTGTGTGTTATCCCATTATAAGTTTTGTAATATTTTCGTTATGAAGTAAGGTTAACAAATTGAAATCTCTTTGGTTTAGAAACCGCAGCCTCAGAGGGAAAATAATAGCATTATACAAATATCTATGGGGCCATTACAAACCATTGTCTGGAAATCTATCAATAAACAGGACTATACGTAGGACACGCAGGTCACACATTTAGACTGGAAGAAAGGAGATTGTCACGTATTCATTTGCACATAAAAATGTGATTAATGGCATTTACTGTCCTGACAGGAAAAGTTGTGCCGAGCAGCAATCAATCCACAGGAGGGTTTGTGCTGAGCAGCAATCATGCAAATAAGAACCTGGTAACTGCCATTGGGGTCAAAGGCCGGTTACAACCAATCAGATCCACAGGCAGGGTATTTGGGCCCAGTTCTCCTCTTGCTCTGTGTCCTGTCGTGGTTTCCCTTGTGGTTGTCCGAGAGCGCGTTATTGATTCTGTTTTTTTTTAGTTATTTGACTTTGGCATTGATATTGACTTCCCTGTTTTCTTGAATCCCTGACCCCTGGCTTTTCCTTATCGTTGTATCTCTTTCTGTATCCCTTGACCTTGGCTATTTCTGACTATTCTTTGGTACATTGGTCCGGCCATTCTAAGGTCCGGTATACGTTACCTATCAGTCCTCTGTGTTACACAATTCTATGGGCTGGATCATACTGACAGAGCTTTAGTCTAAAACAAATAAAAGGATTTTTTACAGTAGTAAAGTTTTGG